GTGTGTGTGTGTGTGTGTGTGTGTGTGTGTGTGTGTGTGTGTGTGTGTGTGAGTGAGTGTGTGTATGTTTGTGTGTGCACACATACATATAATATAGTAAAGCAGATTTTGATTTAAAGGAAATTGCAATGCATAGAATAAAAAATAAAAAGTACTCCAAGAATTTAAAATCCTTTCGTGGTAACATGATTTTCTGTTAAATGGCTTCACGTTACACAAAGTTTACTGTTGACCTGATTTACAAAGGGTAGATACTTTATGGACAATGATTTTTTAAAAACATCAAAAAAATATGTGTCGCGCCGCTGTGGAATCAGGCACTCGTCAATTTTTGGGCATATGGAATTTATAGTAGCATCTAAAATCTTATTCATTCGCCTTGTTTTCAAGGAAAATAAAATCCCCATCTATCTTGAATAGAAGGCGAGATATTTGAGACTGAAGGAGGTAGGCTCGCCTGGTTTCAGTGGTAAAATTAGCGAGAAAATGACAGCCAAAGTTTGGTAACTTCAATAGCTTGAGAGTCCTTGAAAACTAATAAAATTACATATTTTGTGCCTTTAATATATGTTTTTCAGTAAAATTTACATGGAAATGTGTTTTTATATAGACATAAAGGGTGATGAGCCAAAAAGGAAAAATTTGATGAAAATTGCCAAACTGGCAGAAAAATGCCTGTTTCTTCGATTTCATTATTTTGATGAGCGCCTGATTTCACTAGGATGCCTCACATATGTTTTCGCATTCTACTTACCTTGCATTCCAGCTTTTGCTGCCGGGTAGCAATTGTCAAGAATGTAAACAGCTAATTGCAATTTTTCTTTTTGTTGCTCAAGGCTCTTAACATTTGCTTTAAGCTGAAGATTTTTTTCAGTATGGGCTTTCATATCCTGCAAAGAAAAATAGTGAAATGTAGTAATTTCATAAAACATAGTCATTTTGTTACAAAATCTTGTACTATACTTAAAATTAGAATACTGGATAATGAACAAAGAATAGATTGATAACGTGAATACTTGTCTACAACAATTTGAGTGAGACTCCATGATAATGTGTTGTAATATCAAGATTTTTAATAAATTAGCAGATTAATGAAGAAGGTAACTATTCGAGGGAAAATCCTTTCTGGCATCACTTCCCCCTTGATGGGCCCGATCCTGGTTGCATGTCATGCGTTTGATATGAAGGGTATACTTTTGGACCTCATTTTTAGGAAAACTTTCTCATATAATAGGCAAGGCAAGCATATACGGCATGTACTTTTCCAAAAGAATGAAATTAATAAATCAATTGAGAATGCCTTGAGTAAAGGTAACATGCTAGAAAAACCTGATACAAAGTATAATATATATCATAGATTTATTCGCTTGTTGCTTTGTCTTTGCACTGTGTTGAATTGCTACAGGCTATATAGATAAACACACCTGTCTGACACATTCATGTATAAAAGAATAAGACAAGTCTCAATACAGTTTGTTGAGCAGCTGCACAACAGACAGAGAAGGTGTATAAAGACTTTTTGCCATCTTCTTGAAAAGAGATCATTCATACTGAAGGGGTAAAACAGAATTACAACCATCACATGTAACAGTACATACCTCTAGTAACTGATTATGCTCTTGCAGCTTTTTTTCCCTGCTCTTTCTTGCAGACTCCCTGTTCAATTCTTTCCTCTTTTCCCTCCGAAGAACATCTTGAATCGATAGCTGTGAAAAAATATAGTCAATGAAAGTGCGTAGGCCTACACAATGTTCATTATGTCTCATTTCTTGAGCAACTCTTCCATGAATGCATATTTCACTAAGTCAGCTCTTATCTTATAACATACATTCTTGAAAGAGACAAACCATAATATGAAAAGAAAATGAACAACATTCTAGGACGTTTCATTAACAACATGGAAATTAAAGCCATAACATTTCAGGAGAAGAGAAAAAAATTCTAGACAAAATAAAAGAACACTGAATATATCAATAAGCTCTACAAATAATGTTTCACACACAAACACTTCCAATGCAGGGTCTTAAATTGAAACTTCTCCAAAATACTTATGTCTCCTTAGATGTTGACTACCGGCCAAAAGTAAAATAAAAAGCAATAAATTGTTAACTCCATGACGGTCCCCTCCAAGAGAAGAAAGATGAACATTACTATCAAAAGTATTTTTCCACTAACAAATCTTTTCTTTTCATGTTTGAAGTGTGGAGGGGGAGGGTGGATAAATTCATTGCTTTCTTTGACTTTGAGTATTTTTATTTCCTGCAAAATCGCATGGTTTAGAAAAAATGAAAGTTACATTTCAGTGGTTTGATAAGTTGTGACTTGTGGCACAGCAGATGGTACAATCAAAGCATAAATGTTGTGGCCATAACTGGCATTGCAAGACCCTCTATAAAATGTATCATTTACTTAATCAAGTTGTATGAGAAAAAGTACCGTTACAGAAAGTATGTCACTAATTATATTATCCTCAGTTCAACCATCAGCAAATGAGAACTCAACCATTGACAGATTCTTTTAGGTTGGACATTAACTCTTTCACTACCAGGGGGGCTTATCTGTGACCTACTTTCTGATTCTGCCTATTCTCAGACAAATTAAAGATTCTGAGCCCAATTTTTAATGGTAGCCAGATGCATATATATGAAAATAAAAGGGAAATAACGTCCTATCTCAATATGTTGCTAAAAAAGATCATTCTTCAGCCTGAGATTTCATTCAATTATTACAAAAGTAGGGCTGGTTTTGAAGCAGAAAGCGGGGTGCCGTGAAACACGGCTCACGGTCCAGAGTGGGGAGTAAAACGAGCCGCGAAACATGGTCGCGGTATTGAAAAAGATTACAATACTGAAACTGGGATAACAAAAGGTGCACTGAAGGGGCGAATGGAATGGAAAGCGTACGGATCGGATTATCGAGCAAATTTCCTCTTTGGAAAGTGGTGGCACAGAGTTCCCCACGTCGTATAGAAATGAAAGTAAAACATGACGTACGGATAGGGTTAAATGAAAAACTATTAAAATAGGTTCACTTGTTTTGATTTAATGAATTTTATGTTTTTCTCATTTTTAGATTGAGTAAGCCTACCAAAAAAGGGCCCCCACATAGTGGGTTTACTCACTGGAAGATAAAGAGTTAGAACTTCTGGCAAAAAAATATTTGAACTAACCTTTTCTTCTTTTGGATCCAGAAATAAATCAGCCCTTTCCAGCTCTTCCTTGCCATCATCACGACGACGCTGCTCTACATGAGACTTTAGAGCAGCTTTCACAATATCTAGGTCAAAATTTCCACAGACTGAATCATCATCAATAGCCATTAAGGAATTGGCATCCAGCTTCATAAAAGGAAAAGGGACATTCTGCTCCATGACTGACATGAACCTGAAATGAAATACGAAATGCGCTCAGAGATTGTAGCTATATTATGAAAGAAACAGTTTACTTCCTTCAAACAAAATATTTTATGAACAAAGAGAGAGAGAGAGAGAGAGAGAGAGAGAGAGAGAGAGAGAGA